GGGCAACTCTTACGCTTTTTTCGTGCTCTCCAAACTTCCCGCGTGCTCCATAACTCGAAAGTGCACGTTAAAGCATGAACCAATTGTTAAATAGTTCCTAAACAAACTGTTTGGGGCAGCGCGTCGGTGGGGGTAACGAAATGATTTGAATATATCGACAAAGTTAAAATGGTAAATTGGCCACCGTTACGTTACGTAACGGTGGCCAATTTACCATTTCAACTTTGTTGATATATTCAAATTATAAACGTAATTGTAATGGTTTCCTCAAATAGAGAGCATAACTATTCAATATGACATAGCCGTCTGAACGTGGCTTTTTAATTACAGTAAAAACTACAATCTCTTATTTGTATACTAATTGAATTAATATTACCTTTGGGAAACAATCCAGAATAATTTAACAAGTAACAAACAAAGTGTCAGATGACGATTAAACTGAAGAGCTCAAAAGTGATTTCCCCTTATCCTTGGAATTAGGGGATTCCCGAGGTGTCGAATTCTGTTGCAGCATTACGCAGTGGGGTACTGAAGGGAAATTCATATACGTATCAAAAATTTTATTTTGTTAGATTAAAAAGAAAAATTGGGAAAAAAGGAAGGCAGTTGAACACTTCTCTACAAAGGACAATTTTTTCCCTAACTGGAAGTTCAAAAATAACGTAGTAACAACACAAAGGAGTTTCTCCCTAGGGGTAGTGTTAGGCCGAGAGTAGCGTTGCTATTTGCGGAAATCACGCGTTGATCACCCTTGAAACGTCAAAGGTAAACGTTCCCGTTGCTGCTGTTGCGAGGTAATTGACTCGATCTATCTGTTTATCATAAGCTAAGTGAAAGAATCCTCCGAAATGCTGCACAATTTTGCTGCCGGTAAACACAGTATAAGGATATATTACTAATGTGGAGTATTGTTCGACCGCAAATAGGTAACCCAGTGCCGATCACAGGGTGATCACGCGATCGAAAACGAGCAGCCACCATGTTTCTCAGTCCATTTCAGATACTTCTGAACGAGCTAAATCATGAATTGAACGAGAAAAATCTACAAAGTTTAATACACATTTGTGGAGATCGCATTCCAGGCGCCCAAAAGGAGCGAATCGCCAGTGGATGGGAATTATTCAGCATTCTACGCCAGCAAAACATCATCGGCAGCGAACCGGAAAAGATCGGCGGCTTGCTCGAGATTATCCAAGCACTGAGGCCCAAGAGGAAAGATTTAGTCTACAAAATCAAGCAGTTCATTCAATCACGCTATGAAAATTCAGAGGCAATATTGAAAGATTTCGATTCAAGTTCCGATAACCACCGACCACTCCAATTTCCGCCGTATGGAGTTCCGAGCCCGAGCAGGCCGACCACTCCAGTGGAACAAGAAGACTGCTGTCGTTTGCGTTGTTGTGGTTGCGCCTGCAGTTGCAATCCATCTTGTAATCCATGTTTCTGCTGCGGAATTCTAGTCGTATTGTTCTCTATTCTGATCGTTTTCTGTACACTGGCTTGGTACTATAAAGTTCCTGAGGTTACGAAATATTTGGACAAAAAAGAAGATTTAAGAGATAGTGGTCCATATGTTATTGCTGGTATTGGACTGCTCGTTGTTTCTAGCCTTGGATGTTTACTTTACATCAAAATTTACAGACCAAGGAGGGAACATACCTACTCAGTGCTCCCACACAGCTTCCCGGAGACAACGAGTACTCGAGCTACCTATGCTTCATCGGAATGTACACATCTAACTGACGGCTCGGCAACTTCGGAAAGACGGATAGATCGCACCAGACGATGTTCTTGCTGTTCCGGCCATTTAACACAGTATACAGTGTCCAGTTCTCTAGCTTCCAGAACCTCAGCCCGCCTCCCACAGCTCGCAGACCAATCTGATACTACTACAGATGGTCCGCAGCTACACGCACTGTTTTTCAGTCAAGATGTAGCTCATGAAGAAGGCGAGTTTGGAGAGGTGTAATCTCTGCTGCTATGTTTTCTAACTTGATCGCAGAGTGTTCACAGCGCTCTGTTTTCTCGTGGATCGTGTAACGCTCGAAACGAATCAGGACAGAGTTGTGCAAAGCGAGTGAAAAAGCATGCATCGATGGGCTTCGGATGCGAAGGTTTTCAGGTTCTTATTTTCTTTTCACCTCAGTCCTCGCTGCGCCTGATGGTGTATTAGAGCGCCTTGAGCAGTTTCCTGGGACAGACTTGTTGAAAACATTCTGAACTTACTCGTGTCAGTTGTTAGAAGTACTTTGATTTGTTTTCATTTTTTGAACGAAATTTTTAGAGGGCTTTTAATAGGTTGTACATATTTATAACCACGGACAGTGTTGCTTCAGGACTGAAAGCCTATAGCACTAGATGCGTCTAGTTCTTTTCATACCGCCATAACATCTCGTGCTCCCTTGCCAACCGCGTTGGCTGGGGACGAGGTAGGATTCAACCGCATCCCGTATCCCGCGGGCAAAGCTTATAAAAGCCGCTGATCATTTACCTGATATTGAGCCGTGAATAATTTGACCTCGCATTCGTGTCACATAATTGGTACCTAAGTAACGCAAGCCTTTGTCACGATGAAAAGGGAAGTCCGTCAAAATTGTGATATTAGATAAGTGAACCGAAGTTTTTTAACCTAAACACTAAACCTTAAAAGCTTTAGTGTTTAGGTTTCTTTCTCTATTCTGATGAAAACATAATTGTGAAATTTTCAGTAGACAATCGTGGACGATACTCCTACTCTTGTACGTTGGATCAGCGATGATCTGATCGGCCCAAAATAACGAATATGAAATATAAATATAGAGGCAAGACCGATACAACGTAGATAAGTAAATTTTAAGACGGAGCACTATATTTCGGCTGGCCAAACCAGCCTTCTTCAAGTGCAGTGGGAATTAACAGAGAATTGAGGTGTAAAACTAATTTGATTGACAATGAGATAACAATAAAAATACTATCTATGAAGCATCACCCCAATTCTCTGTTAATTCCCACTGCACCTGAAGAAGGCTGGTTTGGCCAGCCGAAATATAGTGCTCCGTCTTAAAATTTACTTATCTACGTTGTATCGGTCTTGCCTCTATATTTAGGAAACATAATAGGCAAAAGATGGTTTTATTTTTTGGCTCCAGATCAGCCTTTAATTGCAACAAATTTGTACAACTGTCGTCTGCCTATTGATTAGAGGGAAATCGTCCTTTTTCGGTTTTCCCTCTTTCCACTAGGAAATTTCATCTCAGGACTTGGCCATGGGTAACCAAATGTTTTCAATGTGGAAGATGCGTTTGCAATTTGCGCAATGCGCATGCGCGCGAGTGCGCCTCTAGCAGGGGGGAGAGAGGTAGCCAACCTCTCTCCCCCCCTGCCTCTAGCGTTAAACTGCAAACAAGCAGCGACACCATTCTGTTTTCCATTAGTTTTACTCCTCAGGTGAGACGGTTAGGAACTTCAAGCAATCAGGACGGCATTGTCGAAAATAAATTCAATTGAAAAAAATTAATTAATATTTTGCTTAGGAACTTTGGAAATAGGTGGATGTGATTACCTTCTCTAACATCGCCTGACCTCATCTTCAGCATGAGATACATGAGCGGAATCTAGTTCCAAGTGGAAAAGTAAAAAAGTTTCCATTAGGGTCCATAGTTCTTAGACCAAGTAAATTTTGGTGATTTCAAATTGCTGTTTTCTAGAGGACGGCTTGGAAATATAAACAATTTTAAAACACACGTGCTGAGCTATTGTTCGTCTTACTAAATCTGTTGTTTGGTTATGTTCTCGTTGCTGTCGCCGTCGGGTTATGAAAGTGTTATGATGCGTCAACGAAAAATCGAAACACTTAGATTATTAGATACAATGAAATATATGAAGTTCATATTTTTTTTTTATTTTTTTTTTATTTTTTTTTTTAGATTATTGTCAACAATAAAGGTGTGGATGTAAATTAACCGCTGCAGGAAATTTGAAAAGCTGATGTCTCCAGTGAAATACGATGGGAGGATCAGCTTAAGATTAAAAACTTTGTTTCAAAATAAAGAAAGGTGTGCGAGGAGCCTCAAAGCGACCTGTCAAAAATCCTTCCTCAAATTTATAGGGGCGACAGTCACTTTAGATCGCCCAACGCTTGAGGTTAGACCGAGCAAAATGCATTTGCATGCAGCTGCCCAAACGCCTTCACCCCATTCAAATCATTGTCACGACTGAAAAATCCAATTTGAAGCCACACGAGGCTTAGTATGGTATGTCTCATTTTTCAATTCAGTGACCAAACTTAACTGCGGTCTGGCCATTCGAAGAGGACAAAAATGATGCAGTATTTTGAATTAAATAACGCAGGAGTGATGTAATCAACCTTTATTCAACAACCCCGTCTCTCGGGCAGCTACTTCCTCGCGGCCACTTTTTCCTACGCTTTAGGGGATTACTGAAGAGAGGATTGCCTGAGGTGCTGACTGTTTTTGGAGCCTCATATTGAAAATAGTAAGCTGCGCCCATCATGATTATATTACAATTCATAAGTACCGCCCTTTGTTTGTCTTAGACAACAAAACATAAGAGATTTGTTCGATCAATTATTTCAAGAAGTGCCCTGTTTTTTTTTTCTTCATATAGCTTACACCGTAGCACCCTAGTGGAACCCTAAGAGATAGATTATACACCTTTACACCAGTTCTTGATTGTCAAAATTGTTAAGCAAGTCATAAAACAGCGACCTACATCGAAATAGTTATTTCCGCCTGTTCCACGAAACAGGGGATTCCCCAGTTATCTATTTCATTGTTCGTATGCCTACCGCAGACTGGGTACCACCAGGCGGAGAACAGTGTCTCTTTGTCATCTCGATCAAGCGATTGTAACAAATGGCGAGTAGGCCCCTCGATCCTTTCCATATACTTTTAAATGATCTTAGCCACGGGCTAGACGAAAGAAATCTACAGAGTCTGATACACGTTTGTGGAGAATACATTCCGGGCTGTCAGCGAGAACGAATCTATAGTGGATGGGATGTTTTCAGCATTCTACGCCAACAGAACGTTATCGGCACAGAGTGTCAAAAGATCTCGAACTTGCTTGCAATCATTAAGGAAGTGAAGCCTAGGAGGACAGATTTAGTCAACAAAGTTAAGAAACATATTCAAGAGTGTTATGACGATGCAGAAACTATGCTGGAAGAACTCCAGTCAAGCTGGGAATTCAACCAACTACGACTTCCGAGCTCACGATGCTCTACACCGAGCCCTGGAGAGGATTGTTGTCGTATCCGTTGCGGTGGATTTGCGTGTAATTATAACCACAGCAATTCATGTTGTTATGCTTGTTTCATTTGGTACGGCGTCATTCTGGGTGTTTTGTCTTTTCTCTTGGCCATTGTGGCTGCTCTGGCGTGGTATTCTGACATCCCAAGAGTTACAGAGTATCTGAAATCGAACGACGACATAAAAGGCGCAGGTCCCTTCGCGATTGGTGGCTTAGTATTCCTCGCGTTAAGCAGTGCTGTGTGTGTAATTTGTCTGAAATATTGTAGGCAAAGAAATGCTACACAGTACGCAGTGCTTCCAAACGTTTCAGAATCAATCAGTAATCAAGCAAGTTATGCCACATCGGAGCGCTCCTACCGATCAGCAGCACCGACAAGGATAAACTCAAGGTCCTTAAGCTCTGCGCAGATTACAGCTTCCACCGGTTCTATAGCCTCTAGATGTTCTAGAGGCTCATGCTATATTGCACATTCTTTACGAGGAGCTGATTCTGTTCCCGATGGCTTTCCAGAGGACGAGCCTTCGACTCCGGATGCTGGCCCAGAAGGAGATGACGAAATGATGGAATAGGCCCGATTTAGACTTACATAGATGGTCGGCTAATGATTCATGAACAAAAAGGGATTAAAGATACAAATTTGCTCGCTGGTTTGATGGTTTATTTCAGTTAGAAGTAGACTTAACCCTCTCAGAGAGGGATTAATCAACCAACTCTGATCTCGTCCGAGATTTTGCTTCGCTATCCCAGTAAATCACGAAATCTCTTAGAGTCTTTCGATTCAGTCCAAGGCCTCACCGTACAAGTTGAAATTGAAATATGCAAATTACGCCTTTCATTTTAGACTTCAGGAATTCGCAAATCCATATGAACGACAGAGTCAACAGTTTTGTGGGAGCCCGCAAAAGGCTAGAAGATGCTGAGAACATCATTCGAATTCTTAAAGAAGGAAGGATTGATTATTTTTATAATTAAATTTTGATAATTGAACCTTTTTGGGTGCGTGACTTTTCTGTAGGACAGTTAGAGCTGTGCAAACATGGCTCACGATAGTAAATATGCGTTTAGGATAACCTCATTCCCAGGGCCTTTTCCCAATTAAGGGAAAAGGCCTTGGGAACGAGGTAGCCTTTTAGACCAAGCGTGATGTCAAGTTGGCTGGACATTGGCCGAGTTCCTTTTTTGCTTTTTTACGGACTGAGACGAAATCGAGGTCCATAAAAATTTGAAAAAAGAACGAGGCTGATATCCAACCATCTGGACCGAACAAGCTTGGTCGATAAAAGGATTTATTACACGACTCGGGCAGTCAGAGGGCCAATAACTAAAATCAACCAATCAAAATGCTCTATTGCCGGTCAATATTCTCTCAGTATTGGACCGGGCACTGTCCCGAATGGTCCCGAA